CACTTACTTCTAAAAATTTCCTTCTCTGTCTATCCTATTTCCCCACCCCACAGAACTCTATAACCACCGTTTTTGAAGGACAAATTGCTGGGACTAGGGATATATGAGTGGGGCTATATAAGCTACTTTTGCCTTTTTCAGTAAAATGCTTATCTAATTTATTCAAATGTAACCTTCCTTTGTTTTGCTAGAATATCTGTTATTACAGTGTAGATCTATAGATGCACCCCAAACCAGGCCGACTCAAAAAAGAACACGTAACAGCGCATACTCTCAGAGTATTCCTTTACTGCCAACTTTTGCTTATTGGTTCTACTTAAATCTATTCTTTCCCTCGTGAATTCACTCCTACGGTTTGCACTGTGTGTCGTTTTCAGGCAATTATTTTAATATTATTTACCTTGCACGCCCAGCCTATGTACCCATTAGCCCCAAGGCCTGCGTTACTTTCGGTTTTATTAGTTTTATTTAATTTCACACGAATTTTTAGTTTATAAATTGGTTTATTAGTTTAACTTTAGTAACATATCGTCAACGTTAGCTAAATATTTTCAAATAACTACTAAATTCTAAACTAAACTGATTAAACTAAGCTCAAATTAACAAAAATAACTAAAAAATAAAACTACACTAAAAATAAATTAAACCAAATATAAACTAATCTAATACCACTGGTTGCGTGAAACAGAATTTTCGGGCAAGGGATACTTAAGGCGAGTGGCCAACATAACTTTCATCATTTCTTCAGAGCCCACGGTAATCCCTACATTATGGAATAGAAATGTCATAAATTTCTCCACTACAGCCTTCGCTTACGTCATAAACTGCACCAATTCCGCCGCCTGATCAAAGTTAACAGCACCCGATCCGTTTCCCATTTGTCGTACAGCATTTTTTCTTGCTTTTTTGCCTACCATTCCCTTCTGTCTTCCTTGCCTAAGATGGTCAAAAGGTATGTACGGTAGTGAGTAGCGCTCAAGGCTGTCTCAAACTCAGGTGGATTTAGAAGTTCTTAAACAAAAGGACTCGCTTTCTCCCAGTTTTCTTTACTTTCTTTATGATACATTATGTATGACCACTAGATGACCTCTGCCCATTAATTTTAGCTGAGATTAGAATCCTCTGAAATACAGATATCGTCAATATCTGGTGATCCTGAAAGTGTCTTATCACATCTCCCTAAGTTCTGTTCTTTTCAGTCCGAAAATGCCTTATTTCATTTCGGTAATCTTTCTTGCATCGAGGACGGATGCCGTAGACTAGAGTTAATTAAAGAATATGTTACGTTCTTAAATTTCTATTTATTTTGGTCCTAAGTGCTTCCATCCCACTGGTTCTCCCAAAGCTAACTGAAGGTTTTATGTAAGAAAGATCCTATGTTTTTCTCCCTCTATCCTGGTCCTTTACAATTTACCAACTCTGCCAAGCATACTTCCTCGATGGCTGTAAGCGTGGTTTCCGACTCTGATTTCTGGGACTGTTTTTTTGTCCTCTACGTTACACCTTCTAATAAAATGCCTAAATCCGCCTTTCTTGACTGGTCTGCTTTTTCCAAGCCGATATATCGCTGAAATCTTACAAAGTCGATTTGTCCAACCCGAAAATGCTCAGCGTGATCTTTGGTCATGCTTGAGCATGGCCATAAGTTGATCTCCTGTCAGCTTGACTGAAATTGGTTCATGTTGTTTTCTGATTGCTTCTGTGTCCCTTTACGTTTTCTGAATAGGGAATCTTTTTATTCTGCGTTATAATTTCTACTGCTTCCCTCATACCATGGCACGACGGTTTTCGTTTGTGTTTTTATTTTACTGTAGGCTTACACCATGTCCTTTATTCTTTGCAAAAAAAGCTTATTACAGTTGAATACCATATTCTTCATAGCTATGAACATAAATTTGTCTTTAATAGCAGTTAGCGTCGGTTAATATCTGTGGAACCTATACGTCTCTCCTTCGTCGTTAAAGTGAAACAACGCGGCCCGAATAGGGGCTAGCCAATTAAGACGTTTCTGTTAGGTTTTAAATTTCAATCTTTACCATTTCTTTTTATTTTCTTCATGAACTCGGTTGTGACATTCTGCGTGCCATACGATTACAAGAATTAATAAAAGCGCTTTAATGCTGCCTATGAGAATTGCCCCGAATCATGGCATGCATAATAATTCTCACCATTTACGACGGCAGAAATTTTTCTTAATAACTTAATTTTTTACCTTTAATAAACCATCGTTAATGTACTATGCTTCGAGATACCATAAAACAGCGAAATCCTGTAGCAGCCATTATAGTAATTTTTTTTGATTTTTCCTTCTCAAACAGGCCGCCGCATTAAAACACGTGATGACCAAATACCGGAATTTTCTCAGTTGTTATTTTCGAACGGTGTAGCCCTTCATCATCACTGGCTTGTCATGCAGCATGCACATAGCATGCCGATATTCATGAACTATTAAGTAAGCGCATGTGCTTTGGTAAGTTTTGTGCACACTGCACTCGTGACCTCGCTTTCCACTTCACTTGCAGTTAGCAACTATGCACAAACGTAGTCTGCCATAATAAATTTGGGAAAAAGCAAAAATTCGGGCTAGCTTAGGGACATCCACTTGCTAAAACATAGGATAAACTAATCCGATAATGTAGTACTAAACCATTCCTGTCTACGGCAATAAAATGTTTACAGTCAGTAGATATCACGCACAGTCAATAACAGCCCAATATCAATAGCCGCAGGATCATGTCCTAATTACCTTCAGGAGTAAACAGTGCCAAACCATACGCGGTATAGGGCGAGGAAAACAGTCTGGTAGAATACCACCATCTTATGGCCATGCCCAAGCATGATTGACGATCACGTGGAGTTTGTGCATATCGTCAGATTTTTTAGTCGTGGTTGTTGATAATAAGTTTATCAGTGTACTCGAGGAGTAAACAGTTCTGAGATACCCTAGCTCATAAGAGTGATATGAAGAAGCAAAACATATTATGAAGTCAGGGGTGTTTCAAAAATACAGTCGATTCACACTCCGTGTATGGGAAAAATCGAGTTTGTAAAATGTCAGCGATGTTTCGACTGAGAAATAGGCCAGTCGAGAAAGAAAAATTTAGGCATTCGCTTTGAGGTCGTATCCCAGAGTACAAAACAACAGTCCCGGAAATGAAGGTCGACAACCAGGTTAACAGCCCTCGGGGACGTGTACTTGACAGAGTGCTACATTGCAGAAGACCAATGTGGAGTGAAACAAAAGATAGGATCTTTCTTGCGCAAAAACCTTAAGTTAGCTCCAGGAGAACTGGTGAACAAACGATCTGATGGAACCACTTAGGAGTGAAATCGACAGACATTTAAGAATTTGATGTATTCTGTCAGTAAGTTTTCTACGCAAGAGAGATCACTAAAATAAGATAAGGCTTATTCAGAATGGGGGGAGAAGAGTGTAAGTATACCCGTTAAGACAGCGTCAGAATCAACAAATACTGACTATGGATATTCCAGAGGATTCCATTCTTAGCCAATGTCAGTCTGTAGAAGTCACATGGTGGCGGTATAGGGTGTACCAAAATGAGTGTAAGGGAGCCTAGAAAAAAGTGACTGTTTTGTCCAAACGCTTTTTAATCCATGTGAGCTATACTCAGCCATGAGCGCTGCTCACTGTTGTGCCTACGTCTAACTATTGTAGCCAAAGAGTACAGAAGAGACTGGTAGGAAAAAAAGAGTAAGAAAAAAACGGGTTGACACGAGGGAAAGGAATCGGTAGCTGTTGACTTTTATCAAGCGGTAGGCCTCGTACGGATTATGACGTATGCGTTGATTGTGGTAACAATTTTGTCGACAATGAAATAGCCTGCAAAATGTATACGCTTTTCCATCGGCTCTTGAAGAAAAATAATATAATTTCTGAGAGCCACAGACAGTGCAAATTGTAACTGCAAGGTGATTAACAATATACGAATTAAAAAATAATATCATAGTAGAATCAAGAGACAGAAGTCTGCAGAAGAGGAATATTTTTAGAGTACCCAGTGTTACGTGTTTACAATGTAATAAGGAATATTCAATTGAGACAAAGGGAGTTCGATGAAATAAATCTGATCCGCTTTGCCCTATGAACGTTGGTTAATTAAGAACGAGAAGGGACTGAAGATGGCTATTGGGGGAATATGAGGTTTTTCTTGCCTCCCTGATGATATGATAAAAATTCTGGACAGGCCTTTACATTTATATGATAATAAAATAATATTTATTTACCTGCTTTTGTGGGGCAAGATATATTGGTCACACGAGCCAGCGTTTGTCCAAAAAAGCATAAGAACACATTCCAGTTTGGTAAGCAAAGGGCCAACTAAGGGGTATAAGCAGTTTCATTCTAACGCACCTGGTAGGACGAGACAATCGTGTGTATGCCGAAGAGGCCTTCCGAGTGATTGACAAGGTGCCCTCAAGCTACTCAAAATTTCTTGGATAGCGTCCTTCGACTACGGCAGAAGCGGCTGCCATCAGGGTACGCCGAACGTTTCATTGCACCCAAAAGAACGTAGTCGCAGCTTTGCAGTTACCGTGGCCAAAAGCCGCTAATCGAACGGCTAGCAGCTTTTCACATCGCTCGACGACCAGTCTCCCCTAACCTTGATCAGATTTGCGATCGTGATCTACCACCCACCTACCCTGACAACAGCACTAATTCTTCTGCCAACCCGCAAAGTTTTTTAACGTTTTTCGATATAAATGTAAAGGCTTTACGATAATTTATCCAAAAAACGTATACTGACCAATTTACCTTCTGATATTTTCAATGGGAATTTTCGCAAAAGATATTATATAACTTTACTTGTCACGCGAAAAGGGAAATCAGCGCAATAATGCTGGCGTTCTAAATTCACGCTGTCTTCATGTCAATATAATGAAGTGGCTCAACTAATTAAGATACAAACTATGCTACGTGTCTAATATTTTAAAATGAAAATAGACTAGGGCTATACATCGGATCATAAACTGATCAACAGCTTACCCTAAACGCCATCTCTAGGCTACAGCGATAAAGTGCACCGAAGAATGTTGTCTAACTTTAACGCTCTCATTTCGAATCCATTCTGGCTGTGCGTTGGCGCAGTGCCGTTTTTATTTAAAGGAAAAATGAGAGATATTTTTGTGCCAGTTCCGTGAGTCTACTGTCAATTTCTACAACAGACCAGCAGTCCTTTGATCTAGGTCTCTTATAGATGCGGCCCAAATTAAACACGTTCCATTTACTGTCTCTAACAATACGTGCCTCCATTGTGTTCGACCTAGCCGCCTTTACTTTTCGTTTAAATTATGAATGTGTCCCTGTACTTCTGGCTTTGACGCGAATTACATCAGGTAAAAACTTTTCTTTCATTTCTGGACAACCAAAACCTTATTGCCGTGGATTTTTGTCAGTAAGAACACGCACATGTTCTACGGATTTTAAATCAGCAAGCCGCTTTTTTCCAAGAGAATCGGAATTTTCATGTAGGTGAAAAGTGAATGCTTCCAGAAAATTGCGTATGAAAATGTGACCTCCATTTAACATTTTTAATAAGGTAGGCACCGGATTTTCTTGCTGAGATATACAACAGTTAACTATCTGGATAGATTTATTTTGGAGGGTCTATAGGTTTAGTTATCAGTGCTGCGTCTCTAAGTCACTATGATGGCGCTTAATTTGCGGTTACTTCAGACCTGCTAACGCCATTAGCTATCGCTGATAGTAACCGAAAATCCTTTCAACTCGATAAGCTGTTTATATTTTCCGCGAGAGCAACTTATAACTTCAATGATTATGACAATTTTTTCAGAATAATTTTTGCCAGCTAAGCATTTTCCGCGTTAGTTTTAGCTGAATCGCGTTGACATTGGTGGTGGATCCATTTATAAAACGGATTAATTTTGATAGCTGAATCACTGGCAAATCTATTTGCACGTATTTATAAATAGTTTTATTCAGAATCCAAGCGTGATTGCTCACATGAGACAGCGTCATAGGATTCGGAATATGGCATTGTCTGTGATATACTTAACCTATCTTTGTTGCGTGCATAGTCTTGAATCTAAAATTGAGTAATCGTGCTTTTTTTCAATGTGAGCTTTGTCAAACTATACCGCAGTCTTCAAGGACATAACCCAGGAGTTCCGATTGATTATATTTCCCCTAAACGAAGCAGCGCAAAGCGCAGCGAAATGGGCGTGTTATAGTTATGAGCTCAGTGCAGCTTTTACAATAATAATTATTATGTAAAGGTAGAAGTGAGAATCTAGGGTGTAAACCGTGCTTGCGAAGACCCGACAGGCCAACATCTACAAACGATGGCATTCAAGAAAAATAATTCCAAAGCAATAACAAGGGAAGTCAAGCTGGCAGGCCTGTATACAAGAGCCAGCGTTGTCAATCTTGTTTGTGTTTTTTGAGTATTTCTCGCTTGCATAATGCATTTTGCCGCCTTAGTGGACTATAAACTGAGACTGCACAACCAAACTGAATGGATCGTATTGTAGCCTATAATTAGCAAACGCCAATTGCGTGTTGGCTTATGAAGCAAAGTTTATCTAGATATATAACAGACCTTGTAACGCTACAGGAGACTCCTTATATCTCAATGAGATAGGATGCGGGAAAACGCATCCCAAAAAACACCAAAACCATTTAAGAATGGTGTTTGGACCATTGCTTATTCCGAAGAGTAAAGGAGTTTTCTAACATTCGGTGGGGGCCGACACTGCTGATATTCCTGCAATTAAAATCTGTTAGGTGCAAACGCATCCTGCCTAGTTAGATGCATTCATTCCTTTCTGTATTTTTCTTGTCAATACACGCATGATTTTCGAGCCCTCACATTGTTGCTTTTAGGTCTTTTCCTCGGTTACATTCCATGTGTGAAGGTGTGTCCGCTGTACGGGACGGAAAAAGGTTCATACAAAATCGTGAAGGAAGTTAGACTTTGTAGTCTAGCACAGATTTGGTCACGTTATTTTACTCTTATGATTGGACCGTCTCTCTAGAAAGCTACCTGTTTAGTTCAGTTTATTTAAAGGTAAAAAGTATTAATTTTGGCTAACTCGGAAGTTTCCAGAGTACCGCAGAAATTTCCTAGACTATTAAATGCGACAGAACCTAACTTTTTATTAGTATGCATTATGCTATGGGAGAAACCCTACCAGAACCAGAAAATGTTGTCTAAAACTGAACAACTGCATGCGAAGCCAAGTTAAAGGAATCGCATCTATTTTCAGAAAAAAGAATCATTTCAGTTTCACAAAACGTATTGCCAATGTGTGAATCTTTGATTCCGCAACCTGCGGTAAAAAAGAAAACTGCATTTTTACCACAGCAACTATTTGGACAGTAATCAAAACTGCATATATATTATAGCGAAGATGAAAGTGAAAGTAAATCTTATTAAATCTAAAGCGTGTTTAAATATAAGTTTTTGTAGAATACAATTTTAGCCTATGCATACTTTAGAAACTGAACAGGTAGACACTAATTTTAGAAAAAAATCCTTGTATAACTTCGGCAATTCTTTTTATATTCACAAGCTTAAAACTGAGCCTGAAAGTGCTAAACTATGGTCAAATATACTACAATAATATGTTCTTTCATTTCAGTTAAAAGGTTGCCATTTATTTTCGGGTAAATTAAAAAAAACTTTTTGAAATTCTCCATTTTTACTTCACTATAAAGAATTTGCCCAAGGTTGCTTATTATTAATTGTACGTTTTCGTATATGCGTTCATGCCGGTATGCAACTTATGATAAATCTTTCACAAACTTTGGCATTTTGCATGACCCATTTTACTTCGCGCTGTATTTCATACTGCTGACATTGCTTAGTCATTAGCGTACTCGCCTCACTTCCAGTGGAAAACGTTTTTTTCATTGGATTTTATGACGTTACTAATTTGGACTGTGCATACATTGCACAGTGTCCTATGTTCCATCCATTTTTTTCCAATCACTTATTTATTAAGAATTGGATTTTTCAACTTGCACAAAAATAGTCTTCCGGTCTAATCTCATTTCAGATGATTGCACAAGACATTAACATATTTTTATAAATAAATCAATTGCAAACATTGGCAAGCCTTTTAAAAATGATTATTGGGTGCTTTTAATATTTCTATTCGTTAAGCAAGCTGACAGGCCTTTCGGAAAATATCAAAAGATTTACAGTTTCTGATAAAATTTTTAAAAATTATTGTGATTTGTGAAGGTATGCAGTGCATTCCAAGACAGGGCGTCCTTCCTGTTGCTAAGTTGGTATACGCAGTTGTCTTTTTTACAAGTACGTTTGCAGACAGCCGAGAGCTTCACATATATTCGGGTCCTAAAATTATAATAGAAAGGATAAATTTCAGTGCATCTTTTCAAATTTAGCTCTTTGGAACACCTATTGATGGGTAATAATAAAACTTAGATATATTCCAAGCTAATGCTTACATTCTGGCAGGCCTGCATAAACTCATCTGGCGTAAGAATTCCGTCCTGATTGAGATCCAGCCTCTACAAAGTGTACAAATTTTATAACTATACAATTATAGAAACATCAAAAAAATGTATGTTAGGTTTTGAGCAAAGAATGTACCTACTGCCAGAAATATGGCAATATATGCCGTTGTAATGCTCTTTATATTTTTTTGTTTATTTTGATGTTCATGTGCACTAACATTCGTTCTTTTGACTCAGGTAAGGTGTTTATAAGATAGTAGCCTTCCTGGTTATTGAGGTATATTTTTCCTTACCTAGACAATAATTTAGGAAATCCCGACGAAAGTTACAATTTTGGATATTTTTTTAAAATCTCTGTTTTGAACTTCTTTACGTTTATTGCCCTCTTTAAAGCTTATGCATGCCGGCAGAATTGTCTTAAACTTAGATGTTAACTAAATCCCAGAATCGAATTCTTTAAAGTCTCTTGAATTACTTGGTGTTCTTTGTATAAAAAAATATTCGTACAATTTGTTTTCTTAAAACTGTTTCATTGATGATGTGTGTAAAAAGGAACTCGCAGGTGGAGGAATCTAATGAAAAATTAACTAGTTTCAGTTTCTGGGATTTTTCATGTTCATGTTTCTGCCTGCAACTGATGGCCGTGAATTTCATGTATGCGATATGATTAAGTATCTGTCTTATTAAAACTGTCGCAGCAGTTTAAGTGCAGGCTCTAATGATAATTATTTAATGCCTAACGCGTAAAGTCCGACTTAAAAGGAATCCGCTTTTGTGTGTATGGCATGCATGGTGGTGACCTTTCAGTGACAAATCACGGTGTAGACCAGAGGTCCGAAACCTTTATGATTTATAGGGCCACGAAAGCAAGTAGTTGGGAATACATTTCAGTTAGAACCATATAATTATATTCTAAAATTGAATTCAATTAAATTAGCATATAATATGCCTATGAATATATTCAGTGGAG